TATATATATATATATATTTTAGAGTGTCCTAAGGTTAGGAGTTGGGTGGACAACTGAGCTCTAATTTTATTTTATGTGCCCCTACCACAGTCAGTCTACTTTCCTGGAGGCTTGAGGAAACTGGAGCACCTCCTAACTGCCCCTTTAATGCTCTTAGGGATGCAATGTCTCTCCCCCAACCTTGGAAAAGTTCCTTGTGGTCCAGACATTGATCTCCCTCCATGTCATAATTTCAGGGTCAAAGGAACATAATTCTAGGTGTATGGGGAACTCATTGCATCACCTGGAGTGACATAACCAGACCATAAAGTTTTTCTCTGCCATATCCTGACCTAGATTAATTACATCCCAGGCTACTGAGTCAGGGTCCTTCGAATTTAAAGGGATCACAGACTTCATAGAGCTGGAAGGGACCTCAAAGGTGTCAGCTAAACAGATTCCTTGCCTAATAGGATGAGTCTCCCTTATAATACATCCAACAAGTGATCAGACTTCTGTCTGAACACATCCAGCAACAGTGAATATGAATTCAGGAATTCAATAAGGCATACCACTTGGTTGTCACGCAATTCAAGAATCATTAGGAAATTTGACTCTATAGTTTCTACATCTGTCTCACTGTATCTTTCACTCATTGAAGTGTCCTGCCCCCACCTTTGACCCAGCAATACCACTTCTAGGTCCGTATCCCGAAGAGATCATAAAAATGGGAAAAGGGCCCACGTGTACAAAAATATTTATGGCAACTCTTTTTGTGGTAGTAAAGAATTGGACATTCGGGGGATGTCCATCAATTGAGGAATGGCTGAACAAGTTGTGGTATATGAATGTAATGGAATACTATTATAAGAAATACTTATACATATACATAAGAAAGACTTATGTGAACTGATGCTGAGTGAAGTGAGCAGAACCAGGAGAACATTGTACGCAGTTAACAGCCACATTATGGCATGACTGACTTTGATAGGCTTGGCTCTTCATAGCAGCACAAGAAGCTAAGACAACTCAAAAAGATTCATGATGGAAAATGCTATCCACATCCAGAGAAAGAACTATGGAGTCTGAATGCAGATGGAAGCATATTATTTGCTCTCCTTTTCCTTTGTTGTTTTGTTTTATTGCTTCATTCTCATCATTCCTCCCATGAGTTCTAATTGTTTTTTACATCATAACTAATGGGAAAATATACTTAACATGAATGTGTATGTAGAGCCTATATCAGATTGCATGCTGTCTTGGGAGGGAAGGGGAGGGAAGAGGGGAAGAAGTGGGAGGGGGAGAAAATTTAAAACTCAAAATCTCATGAAAGTGAATGTTGAAAACTAAAAATAAATAAATTAAATTTTAAAAAGAGTGTTCCCCTCTGGAGTTATGAAAAATAAATCTAATCCTTTAAAAAAAATAAGAATATTATTATTCTTTTCTCCAGTATAAACATTCCCAATTCCTTCAAAAGTTACTCCTATGTGCTTTTGAGTTCTCCTATCTAGCTCCTCCTGACACATCATATATTATTTATTTTTCTCCTAAACTGTGTCACCAGGAGGCAAACACAATATTCCAGATGCATGATCTGACCAATGCCAAATAGAGTAGGATCATCACCTCACTTGTTCCAGACATCATACTCCTATTAATGCAGTCTAAGACTGAACGAAGCAGTTAGGAAACATTGTATAGGGGATAGTCAGCCTAGAAGTCAGGAAGACCTGAGTTCCTCTGGCATATGCTGGCTGGCTGTGTGACTCTGGGCAAGTCACCTGCACCATGCTCAGGTAACTAAGACTCTAAATTGAACAGCAATTGTAGATCTCGGTTTGGTAGAGGAAGTTCCTTCACCAGGAATTCCTTATACCAATGTAATCACAGGTCAGGTTAAAAACAAACAACTGAATCAGGTCTTTGGCTCACAAATCACATTGTTCTTCCAGTAGCATATAAACTTGTTGGACAAGGATATCTCATTAAGATATACAATAGTTCAGTTAATATTGCATACTGCCCATCTCTGCTCCGGCTTACTCCCCCAACTCATACGGTCACTGGCAAATTGAGTCCACAGAAGGGCTGTTGCTATGATCCAGGTTCTTGGGGGTAATCCTGTGGATAGCTACCCTCCCAACACTGTGGCTCACAAGGCCCCACCAGCATACTTCCCTTTAACGATTAGTCAGCAGATTCAGTTCTTAGCAAAGTCATTTACTCAAATAACATAGGGAGAACAGTAGGTCCCTGAGACAGTGTGCTCTCTCAGTTTGTGAGAAGAAAAGAAGTCACACACTCTGTACAATGGCAATGAGGCATACATGTGGGGAACTTCAGGTCCTTGATTTTCTTTCTTTCTCTGGCAGATTCCCCATGAGGTTTGCTGCCAGGAGTGTCATCGGTGATGGAACAGTCAGTCTGACACTCATCTGGGCTGCTTGAAGGGTAGGGCATCTCAGCCAGATGGGTCAATCTGCTGCTAGTGCCAAGTTGGATTAGGCTGGTCATTTTGCCACTTGGATGCTACCAGAGTAGACTAAGCAAGTCTCTTAGTTGATGGACTCTTTACAAGGTACAGTCTCTCTGCTGGATGAGATAATCTGGTGTACTCCCTGGGTCTGGCTTTTCAATGAGCATCTACAGTCTTCACCATCTCCAGTCTCTGGCTCAGCTGGGTATTGCAGCACCCTTTTCAGCAAGAGCAATGATCCTTAGCCAGGATTGACAGGAACCTTTCTTACAATAGACTGTAAGCTCCTTGAAGGCAGGGACTGTCTTGCTTTTGGTTGTATTTGTATTCCTAGAGCTTAGCACAATGCCAGAGAAATAGAAGGCATAGTGGATAGAGCTCCCAGCCTGGAGTCAGGTAGACCTAGGTTCAAATCTGGCCTCAGACAGAGGCCAGTAAGTAAGTACTAGCTAGTAAGTACTAGCTGTGTGATCCTGAGCAAGTCATTTAACCTAGTCTGCCTCAATTTCCTCATCTGTAAAATGAGCTGGAGAAGGAAATGGCAAATCACTCTAGTATCTTTGCCAAGAAAACCTCACAAAGAGTAAGAACTAAACAATAACAATGTTTATTGACTGACTTTGATTCCCATAGAGCCTTGGCTCTATAGTTTGTCACCTTCAGACAGGAGATAGTAGATGTCTGGTATCTCCTGTGCAACAATTGTTCCTGGTTTAGAGGTAGTTTCCCTCAGTTTTAGACTCAACCTTTACTTAAGATGACCACTCAAGATTCCTGTTGGATGTTATGGGAACAAAGGTATGGAAGCAATTTTGCATTTACAGGTAAGTTATTCAAGTCTCAAATACTTTCTAAAGTGTGGAATGTTTCTTTTGCATCTTAAAATGTTTCTATCACCCTTTTTCACTTTCAGCCTTTTTGAATTCTAAGTGGGGCATACCCTTACATCATCATTTAATAGTCTTTCTAAAATTGGGGTGCTTATTACCATCTTCTTCCCTCTTTTCCACCATTCTGACATTCACTGTAGGATCTGAAGTGGACATCACACAGGATGGAGGGCCATTTGGGATTTTCCTTTGTTTTGTGGGTTTTAATGGCCAAATAATTCATCATCTACTGGCCCTCTCTTAACTAGACAGGTCCTCAGAAAGCAGATGCATCCAGGGTAGAGAACTGAATAGGTAAAAGAGAACAGGTTGGGTTTCATTTGAGGAATTGTGAAGCAATTTCTATGATGTCAAACTTCTCCATGAAATAAGATTTCATCTTTTTAACACCAATATTCTGGTGAAGCTTATATTGGTAAATAAAGGGAATACCACAAGTGTCCAAGAAATAAAAATTATAGGTGACTCAAAGATTAATGGAGAGATGCATGATGGTTATAAATAGACTTTAGCATTTCATGAAAGGTTGAGTACATGAAAATGTAAAAGATATTACAGAAATTAATAACAAAAAAAGAGAAGGGAAAGATAACAGAAAACAGGAAATAGCTTGAGTACTACATTGACGGTCATGATATTCCAGAATCTTAGAGTTGAAAGAGACCCCAATGGCTATCTAGTCTGACTCATATGCCAAATGGAATCTCTACAACCTACTCAAGAGGTGGTTATCTAACTTGTACTTGAAGACATCCAACTAGAGGGAATATACCACTTCCTCATTACACTTATGGATATCTCTAATTATTAGGAAGCTTTTCTTGATATCAAGCCTGAAGTTGTCTCCTTGTAACTACAACCCATTGTCTATTTTTAAATTTATTTTATTTTTAATTTATAGAATAAAACAAGCATTTCCTTTTTTCTTCCCTCCCTCCTTGGCCCCACTCTAGAGATGGCTGCTATTAGACATAAATAGGTATTTATATATGTATGTATATGTATATACATATATATGTTAAAAAAAAAAAAGTCCATATGAGTTCTGACCAGAGCACAGAACAGGGAGGTTACCATGTCATCCCTTTCATTCTAGACACATATACTCGATGTCCATGAACGCTGCCAAAGGCAACATTAGTTTCTCTAGCTGCCCATGTTACACTTTTGACTAACTTTGCAGAGTTAGTCTGTTAAAACTCCCAGATTTTTTTCCACATGAATTGTTGTCTGGCCATACTTCCCCTATGTTATCCTTATGCAGTTTATTTTTGGAACACAAATGCAGGATTCTCTATATTTATTCCTATTACATTTTAGCATTAGAGAGATAATAAGGTACAGTGGAAAAGATACCTTGATTTTGAGTCAGAA